GGGAAAGAGGAAAATCTTTATGCATAGTTGGATTTGATTCAGTGTCAGTGTTAAGGGATGAATTACCATTTCCATTGGTAAACCTCAAATTCTCTCTAGTGTTTTTTTGCTTCAGGTTAAAAAGCAAAAAAAATCATCTGATCTCTTAGTATTCCTTGTCCATCCTTTTGTAAACTGTGAGAAAGCATAGATATGAATGGTTCCAGTGATTTTAATGCAATTTTACAGGCTGAAGGTTTCTCTTAAAACACTAATAAATAACTTTGACAGAGAATTCCAAGGGAGCAGGGCTGAGAAATATTTTGGCTTTAAAATTAGGACCATATTCTGAAAATAGTTTCATCAGAACTGAGCTGTAGAAAAAACAGGCAAGTTCAATAGACGAGAAAAAAAAGTCAAGTTTTGCTTCAGATCTAGTTATAATTAGCTGCAAGGAAGCTCCCTGTTCTTACTGAATGTTTATGAAGATTTTGAGAAGCCTGTTAAAATTCTTACTTGTGAGGGTCTTGTGTGCATATAGATCCGTACAGAATGCAGTAATCGCAAATCTAATGTGGCTTGGGAACTTCATATGCTTTTGTGATATCAAGACTAAATACTAAATTCTTATCACTTCCAAGAGCTAAGTAATAATTTGTAAATTAAAACCCTGCGATTTAGGAACAGTCTTGTGTGCTCTTAAAACTTCTAAAACAAACAAAATAAAAATTAAAGAAAACATTTTATTTTGTGTTTTATAGTGATGAGCTGCCAAATCTCTGAAGCTAAATGTTCTCTTTATCCATTGGGAAAATGCAGAAAGGTGGATCAGCGAGGCTCGGTCCTAGTATAGAAAGATATATAGAGGGGATGCAGGTAGTTCAGTCCTTGGCTCTTTGACGAGGCTACTGAATAAAGTAGCAGTTGGTACCACTGGACGATCACTTTGTAGGTTGGTCGCTTCTATTACGAACCGCATCTCCTTTTATAGAGGAAGAAAGAAAAAATAAATGCAGTGTTGGTGTATCAAGTATATCTGTATTAATGCTCTTTTTGCTGATGTTTTTCAGGATCGCATGACTTGTAAAATTACTTACTTGGGGGCCTGCAGTGGTGTTTGACTGGATATTGCTGCCTGGTTCTGAATGATGTCAGAACAGGATTTGGCAGATGTTGTTCAGATTGCTGTTGAAGACTTGACTCCAGATAACCCAGGTACAGTAGAGATGGTAGTGATGGCATGAGAAAGATCACTTATAGTATTGCCCATTAATAAGATGGAAATCCCTGTTGAGCTGTTCTTAAAAATATAAAGCAATGCTGCAGATTTTTTTCCGAGAGGCACTTGTTAAGACTACATACCAAGTTTTCAATGGCTTAACTTGTCTATCTTCAATACCCTTTAGATCAGATTATTATTTTTTTTTTATTTTACTTTTCTTTTAAAGGCTTTATTGCCTAGGGCTTTTTTTGTGCAGAGGTAGACCGTTGCCAAAAGCTTTAAATCGAATATGGCCTCTTGTAATCTCTTGGTTTTTTTCCAGGCCAAATACATGTTTTAGGCTTTTGAGAACTATCACCCCTCTATTATGGATTGTTGTTTTACTTGTAAAATAGTTTCTCTCATACATTATTAAAATTCTTTGTATGCATAACAAAATGACAGTGAAATTGAAAACCACTTCTGAAAGCAAATACTGTGTTATTCTTTGCTTACAACTTGACCTACTAAGTGAAAATGTGTTGAGACTCGCTATAGCCATTGATCCTGTGCTGCCATTACATGTAAGTGACGGAAAGAGCAGTAACTACAGTTACACAAAACAGAAACACATATCAGAAAAGGTTTTTGTGATGCAGAATGAAAAAGCTACTTCAGAAATGTTCCCAAAGAGTTGGAGAAGCTGGGACCTGTCCTAGCCTAGCTGGTAACACGGCATTCAGGACTGGCAGCTGTAGTATGGTCACCCTTAAACAAGTCTTCCTTTGCTCAGTTTGGTGAAGCAACGCAAACCTGGTCAGACCTGAGATGATGCTCTGATAGTGAGGCTTTTCAGGGCTTTACCTGTGGATTTTACCAGCCAGGCCTTCCAGTTCTAAATGTAATTCCTTTTTGTTACTGTTTTCTTTAAAATGTGTACCTTTTAGGTGAAAGGCCATTAGGACCTATAGGTCTGCAGCTGTGAGTATTTAAATTGGAAAGCCTGCAGGATTTTGTTCATCTATACTGGGGAAAAATAACCCGCTCCTGCACTGAGTAGTGGGTGTAATCCTGTCTTTGTACAGAAGTTCATTAGCGCTTTTTATGGTTTTGTATAAACACAAGAGTTCAGAAGCTACCTCAGGGTAAGTTCCTAATAAAGAAATCCAAGGTGATGCTTGACTGTAACATCCTCTGTGCTTTTGAAACAAAGTCTTAGATTTGGATAAATGTTTTTTGAGAAGCAGTAAACAATTGTCATATATTTAAGAGAAAACCCAAATAAGTGTAAAAGAATACGTACAATATGTTAATTAAATGCCTTTTTGTTGTCGTTGTTTTGTCCATTTAATGTATTTTTAATTTGAGCCTTCTCCTCTTGTAATACAAACTATGCCAGTGCTTATTTTTCTTCACAGTTGTGTTGGAGAATCATGAAGTGACAGATGATGATGTAGAGCCTGCTCTGAAACGTCAGCGTATAGAAATTAACTGCCAGGATCCCTCCATTAAGGTTATGATAATGCCTTTTTTTGTTTGTTTTATTCATAATACCAATTAAGTTAGCTTTCTTGGGGAAATTATATTAAGAGAATGTAAAATAAGCAGTTTATACATAATACTGGAATTATAGCTTTCTTATAAATGTTTTTTCCTCTTTGTGCGTAAATTTTAAAATGTGATTAGCTGATCTTCCAGTGTAAAACCAGATGCAAGAATTTTATATGTGATATAAAATGTCATCAGAATTAATTCCAGTGACTCAAACATCACTATTGTCACATTTTTTTATAAAGTGAATGAAGTTGACCTAAAACATAAGCTTTAGCATGTATTTGTATTGCAATTTGTAGATACTTTCAGCATATTTTAAATTATTATTTTAAGCTAACAACATTTTCCTGGTAGTTAAGCCACAGTTGGTACAAGCTCAGTAGCTCAGGTCTTTTAGTACTTGCAGAACTGCCCCTGCTTTTCTCACTAGTGTGCTTTAGGTAGTGTTTTTGTCTTGGAGTGTAAGTATATGAGTAGTATTTTACTGCCACACACATTAAATAGTATGTAATTTTGTATTTTTGAAATGGTCATAGAGACAGAAGCTCTATATTGAAAGAGCACCAGGGGGGCAGCACGGTAAACCAGCTTGATTAGATGTGTAAATTGTAAGGGAGGGCCACAAGATGGCATAGTTGCTGTTTGCAAAGGAGAACATGTGTAACATTACCCTTTAATGACCTGTTTTTCCCCAGAGGAACCAAATAGAATATACTTTCTCTTCAATAAAGTTGGTTAGGAAAACAGATTTTATTTATTTGCTTTTCTTGATTTGTTGTTCAGGAGAAAAGTTAAGTGAGTGCCGTTAATTATCTCTGAGGTTATTTGTGTTGATATAATTTCCACTGTAATCATCTGAATTTATCTGTTTGTGCAGGAAAAAATCTTATTAAACTTTATCCAGGAGGATGCATTCATAGTTTTATAATCCTTTTGTTTTTACATGTATCGAATGAAAAGCTTTGGCATGTCATTTTAAATGATTTTGTGGTGTATGAAATCGTACTAACAAAGTGCTTAGGTGAAAATGTGTTTGGCTGGGATGCTTTTGGCTTCTAAATAAAGATCTGGAAGAATTCAAGAATGCTAAAATGCTCCTGGATGTCATCAGTTTTGTACGTGGCTGAATTTTGTCCTTTAGAATTGTTTTCCAGTCGTATTTATCTGAAGCTTCCTTATGTGCATGTTGCTGAAGATAAACACGTAAGTCTTTAAAATCGGTTTCTTTTACATTCTCCCCTTTCTAGTCATTCCTGTATTCCATTAATCAGACAATATGCCTGCGGTTGGATAGCATTGAGGCAAAGTTACTGGCACTAGAGGCTACCTGTAAATCATTGGAAGAGAAGTTGGATCTTGTCATGAACAAACAGCATAGCCCCATCCAAGTCCCCATGGTGGCAGGTTCTCCTCTTGGCGCTACACAGACGTGCAATAAAGTACGATGGTAAGAAAAGAACAGATTACTCATCAATGTGCTTTTTAAAATAACGTAAATCCATTTCTTTGGCATCTAGCTCTGCAGCTTTCTGTATAGCTGTCGAGAGCTTGGTATGCTCTTCATGAATGTAGAATTAATTTATCTTGAAGGTAATTTTTGTACTGGTTTCATGATGTTACTTTGAATTAGAATGAGACACTGGTCCATGGACAGTTTGCAACTATTTCCACATTTCATTTTGACTTAAACCAGACTGATTCATCCATCCTCTGGAAAAGTCTCATCAGCTATTTCAGACGGGATTTTTAGACTTGCTTTCCTTCTATTTATGTGGCTGTTTTGAGTTAATGAGTTCATCATCATTCTAATTACTTCTCATTTTACTTTTATTCACCAGAAATACAACAGAGTTTGTTTTATGTGATTGTTTTCTAAAGACTCTTGCTTTATGTATGAGTTGCCTGATACAGTTTTAAGTGTCTAAATTTTGATATGCCTGCCATTTTACCGTGGAGAGGATTCCAGCCAGAGAAATATGCGTATCAAAAGACTCTTTTGTCTGAAAACTCTTCCCTCCTCATTCATATTTTTGTAGCTAAAAAACCTTAATACTTCTCTAAATAATTACTTCTTATTCTCCATTAGAAAGGTGTATAGGCAACTTTCACATGTCATACCATTCCAGTCAAGATATACTAACTTAATTCATCTTTTGTCAGTTTGTTTTTCCATCTTCTGATCTTTTTCATCACTTTCTGAACTTTGTCAATATCTGAAAATTATTTCGAATGTGTTTTTGGTATGTTATACTCAATGCAGTGTTTCAGGTGCACTACTCTACAGTTCTATAGAAAAAAATTAGTTTCTTGCTATATGTTGTGGGACTCAGCCATGTGAGGTAAGGGGGTGAAAAACCCAACCCAAACATTACCCTTTTTCTACTAGGCCACTACTTGCTCCCTGCTGTATGGTTCTTGATCTCTGTTTTAAAAGTTCACATGTTCTATATATTTTCAGTGGAAATCTGGGTACTTTCTGCTCCTGTTGCTGTAACATTCACCTGTCCAGTTAGGAGCAGTTGATGTCCTCAAACTTTTCCAGAACAGCTTTCCTTTTCAGATGACCTAATACAATGTTTGGGCCCCAGTTTAGAATTCCTTTATTGGTCTTTGTTCTTGTGGTGGTGATGAACATCCTGATCATAGGACATCCTCCTTTTCCCCTTTTCCATTTAATTTTCCTTTAAAATAGGTGCTGTGTCTACATTAACCTATGCTTTTGAAGGCTTCCCAATCATACAGTGAAGAGGTCAATTATGGCTAAGTTTTTTATATCAAAACAAATAAAGTGCATGCAATGACTCTTTGGATAATAGAGCAAGTAACTACAATATTATACTGGCATTCTTGCTAAATGCTCTTGATCAATAACTTCTCAAGGAACTGTCTTTAAATCTGTTTTCTGTCATTATATTAGAAATATTCAAGTTCTTGTGCATAAGCTCAACTTCTTACTGCAGTTTGTGCAGAAAAGACTTCAAAAACATTTTCAGAAATACATGGCCCCTTTGGGAATCTATTAATTCATGTTCCATGAATGCTTTCTTCTGTAAATTGTACTATTTTGAGTTTCTTACGGGATTCGTCAGACCTGAGGGTGTTGGTTTTTGTTTTTTTTTTTAATCTCTGTAACCATCGGAAATCTCTCCTGTGTGTTGATGGTGAGCTTGGTGTTTAATCTTTTGGTTTGGGTATACAAATTTATGATGACGGCTTCTCAGGCAGTCTGGACATAATTTAGATAGAATTCTTGAAGAACGTAAGATTCTCTGCCCCAAATATTTCTTAGTGTTGGTATGAAGTTGCATACTATCAAATGCATCTTGCCACTAAAGTACTGAGGGCTTTTTGTTCTTTTAGTAGTCTGTGGCCTATATGACTCAAAAGAAAATAGTTAGGGGTGTATGTGTTTAACTTGGCGTTAGTAAGTAACACTTCAGTTTCACAGGGATGGAACATTTCACTGAATTCCCTGTGTCTCATTCATAAAAACCTTTATCACTTGTTGATTATTTCCAATTAAAACCTGCATGCACTGTTGTGTTTTATCAACTCTCTGTATTGCTCCCTCTTCCCCTCACATTGCAGAATGCAGTGGAGAGCTGCCAGCAGGAGCTAGTATTTTGGATAGTGATTTTCAGATTCTGCATCCGAACAAGATTCTTCAACCTCCTTCTCCTCCTTCTGCCACTGCAGTAACACCAGCTTTGCCACTTTAACAAAAACATGGTAGTTAGCAAAAGCATGTCAAACAGATGGTGCTACACTGCCAGTAAAGCAGGCTCTCATTCTTTTTTCGATAAATAGCTTAGGGGTTTTTTTCTCTCTTCCACTCTATAGTGAATTTTGTTTACAGTTTTTCTGGTAATTTAGTTACTTACATTAGTTTGGTGCAGGTTTAACATAATCAAAACTTGTTTTACAGCCATGCACACAGTAGAGTGTATGAATGGTGCATTATGAATTCACACAGTTTAATTGCTTTGTGCTCTTTGTGCTTTTGAAATTAAATGAATTCCCAAGACTTGTCAGTTTGAAATATGCTTAGGTCATCATGTGATGAAAACAAGGACAGCTTGGATAGAGGAGTTTTCTTCTGTGTCATCTTGTGGTGGAATTGTGTCGTTACAGTGTACCAGGTAAAGTCACAGCTACGTTCTATGGCCTGCCTTGACTGTGATGTGGAATTTTAGGCTGTGTGCAGCACTGTACCCTGGCTGCTTATAAGATGGAGTGATAAAGTGTAATCTGTCCGTATAGCTGCATTAAGGAGCTTGGAGTCTCACTTTGTAATGGTTGTCAGATTTACGTTCTATGATAAGTTGTCTTTTCTAGTAAACTTAACACGCTGATTTATAGGGATAACTCATACCTCTTTTGTGCCAAGCTGTTGTTTCCAAGTTTTAAAAATTCATATTAGGGAAATGAAGCAGAAGTTTTCAAGGAGATTTGTAGTAAATCAGGAACCACTCCATGTTATTAGCTCCCAGGACAGAAATGCAGTGTATTTTAGAGGCTCATTCTGCTTTCTGTCTCTATTAAACACGTGAGGAGTGATATGTGTGGAAATTTTCCAGCAACCTTTGCTGGGTATGTGATTTTTGAAGGCTTGCTGATATTTCTTGGAAAACGACGAATTGAATTGAATTCAGAAATTACCGTACTGTCTACTGCTCGATATTTTGTGTTAAGTATGGCTTCATGAAAGCTGGATTGTGTTCTCAATTCTTTTGTTCTTATTGTCTGTTCTGATCCGCTGTTACGATACTTCATTATATACTAGCTAATGGCAGTGCAGATAAGGAAGAAAATAAAGGGTTACGTGGTGCTGTGTAATGAATAATTTGTATGAGCACTTGAGATACAGAGGAACAATACACTAACTTTTAGATTTCTAAGTCAGAAGTTTAAGCTACAGCAATAACTAACAGGAGAAAACTACTTTTGAAAGGAAGCCATTCCAAATTTGAGATACGTAAACTGTTTTGGGGGAAACAACAATAGGCCATAAGCAAGGTGGAAAGGCTTGTACCTGTTTTATTTCAATAAATCATCATGTGAAAAGCAGAACTAAACAAGTGTAGTTTCGTATAGGTTTTTGTCCTCTGTCCTCTACCTCTTCACTGGACAAGCCTCGTGTTTCCTGTATGGCCCGTGATGTTACCTGCTGTGGGATTCTGAAATCTTCCATGCGATTCCCATGATAGCAGGATATGTGACTGCTGGAGCTTCTGCGGTGGGCTAATGGACGACCTTTCTGACTTTCTGTTACTGGGGTGTAGCATTTGGGCTTGTCCTTATCCCAGCTACAGATTTTAACAGGTGTTTAGTATCTCTCAGACCTCTTTGTTTTGTCAGATTTGGTCATAAGAGTGCAATTAGGTGGGACTGGAAAAACAGCAGGATGTTAAATCTCCTTTTCTTTGCGGGGGGAGGGATGAGGAGTTAAAGAAGAATTTTAGAAAGTATTTGCTCAGTGTTTAGTGGCTGCTACTTAACAATATGTAGTTGTTAGGATTACCTACAAAGACATAGTGTTAGTACAGTTTTTAAAATTTCTTTCTTGGAAGAAAGTCTGTCAGAAGGTTTCTGAACTAGTGGAATGGATGGCAAAAATCCTTAGATTGCACAGAGTTATGTTGAATTATATGGAGCTTGAAAAGGGCCAAGAACAGTAGCAAAATAATGTAATAAATTAGTAATGGGAGTACGTGTATTGTCCCGGTGTTCTGAGCTTTGACTGGCTTTGTGTGCAGCATTAGCACAGCCCTGTTTTTCCATCCAAGATGTGATTGTCTCTCTTCCTCTGGCTGCAACATTTCCTGCAGTATGGCTATTAAAACCCTCTAATTTCTTTTCTTTATGAAGTACCATGCTGGTCAAAAATTCCAGTAGCTGCTGAACGTTTCTTGGATAGGAGAATTGGTGCGATGCCTGATGGGCTGTCAGTATGGCAGCCGCAAGTGATAAGTTTGAAATTTAGCATGTGCCCAGATCTTGAGATTTATAAATTGATGAACACGTAGTGTGACAGTGCGACTAAAATCTTTTATCTGTGTTTTAAAGAAAATATTTCATCTGAAAGATTTCAGTTCAGAAACGGTGTTATTTTTGTCAACGTCTTTCTATTAATCATTTTTCTGCATGGGTAAGCCCAAGTATAAATGGTTAAGGTTGATTGCTTCAGATAACATAGGAATTTGTTTTGGTTTCACAGAGCTCTCCATCATTTGTTTTTAGGGATATTTTCTGCGAATACTACGTTGTACAATTCTGCTCTGTTACTTTGGAAATTTTTGTTGGGTAAATAGATGTAGTTGAGAGCAGTTTTAAAAATGTATTAATTTTGGAGAGGAGTTAAATTTCAAATTGGTATTTTCATACTTAAAAGTGTTTCTGATGAAATACGGAAATTCATAGGTAAACAGAGTTTTTCTTCGGGTATTT